GATTCTTCATTTTGTTATGACTAGGTAGAGAGGAAGCACCTCCAAGCATACAGAGCTCTAGATAAGAGATGGAGTCTTCAGGCTGACTTTTTAGCTTTATTTTGAAAATCATGCCCCATTGAAATGAATGGGGAAATTCTATTTCAGGATAATTTCAAGTATCAAAATGTTCAGCTCTTCAAGGACATTGATGCTACTACTCAATTTTTCTAAATCTCATAACTTTGAAATATTTAGCTTTAATTTGAAAGTTTTGCCCCATTCAAATAAATGGGAAAATTCAAGCATACTTTCAGCTATTTCAGGTATCAAAATGTTCAGCTCTTCAAGGACATTCATGCTTCTATGCAGATTTTTTCTAAACTTCATACTTTTGAAATATTTAGCTTTATTTTGAAAATCTTGCCCCATTCAAATGAATGGGAAAAGTCTACTTCAGCATAATTTCAAGTATCAAAATGTTTGCCTCTTCAAGGACATTAATGCTTCTCTTCAGAATTTTTCTAAACTTCATACTTTTGAAATATGTAGCTTTATTTTGAAACTTTTGCCCTATTCAATTAAATGGTGGAAGTTCTACTTCAGCATATGTCATCCCGGTCATAATAAACTGAAAAAACCTTAGAAAAAATCAACTGAACTTAGATTTCTAGAAATCTAAGTCCAGTTGATTTTTTTCTAAGGTTTTTTTCAGTCTACGTCAGCATAATTTCAGCTATTTCAGGTAGCAAAATGTTCAGCTCTTCAAGGACATTGATGCTACTACTCAATTTTTCTAAATCTCATACCTTTGAAATATTTAGCTTTATTTTGAAAATCATGCCCCATTGAAATGAATGGGGAAATTCTATTTCAGGATAATTTCAAGTATCAAAATGTTCAGCTCTTCAAGGACATTGATGCTACTACTCAATTTTTCTAAATCTCATAACTTTGAAATATTTAGCTTTAATTTGAAAGTTTTGCCCCATTCAAATAAATGGGAAAATTCAAGCATACTTTCAGCTATTTCAGGTATCAAAATGTTCAGCTCTTCAAGGACATTCATGCTTCTATGCAGATTTTTTCTAAACTTCATACTTTTGAAATATTTAGCTTTATTTTGAAAATCTTGCCCCATTCAAATGAATGGGGGAAAATTCTACTTCACCATACATTGAGGTATTTCAGGTATCAAAATGTTCAGCTCCTCCGTTTTTCGGCACTTATTAAAATCAGCATACTTTCAGCAACAACAACCATGAAGTTATCAAAATGTTCAACTCTTTAAAGACATTCCTTTTTTTTTCCTGCTTGTATTTTTATTATTTGTAACATTTATACTTTTTAACATATTTAGCTTTTTTCAGCAGATTTTGCCCCGTTCAAAGGAATGGGAAAATTTTTCACATCTTAATATTCTCAGCATACCTTCAGCTAAAACCACCATTTCAACTAATAACTATTCAGCAACTCTTCAGCTATTCATACTGTAAACAGCTTTTTGATATTTTTATGGCTTTTGCATAATTATCATTTACATTTTACTGTCTCATTTCAATAGCCACACTCTAGTATTTCTCAGTGTGTAGGACTACTCTTTCTTTCCTATGCATACACATACACACAGACACACAAACACCTACACACCCACACACACACACAACACTACTTCCTTTACCTACTTTGTGGGGACCAATAGGAAAAAGTTCACATCTTAATAAGTTCAGTATACTTTCAGCTAGAAAAGCCATTCTGGTATCAAAATGTTCAGGTTTTTCAGGACATTATGGAATGTATTCAACTTTTTTTTTTACGACTTTCGTTTTTTTTTTTTTAAATATTTAGCATTTATTCTGAAAAATTTGCCCCATTCAAATGAATGGGAAAATTGTACTTCAGCATACTTTCAGGTAAATATGCCTTTCAGGTGTCAAAATGTTTAGCATTTTCAGGGCAATCATTCAGCAACTTCATACTTTTGAAATATTTATCTTTATTTTGAAACTTTTGCACCATTCAAATGAATGGCAAAATTCTACTTCAGCATACTTTCAGGTATGAAAATGTTCAGCTCTTCAAGGACATTCATGTTTCTCTTCAGAATTTTTCTAAACTTCATGCCTTTGTAATATTTAGCTTTATTTTGAAAATCTTGCCCCATTCAAATGAATGGGGAAATTCTACTTTATCATACTTCCAGGTATCAAAATGTTCAGCTCTCCAAGTACATTCATGCTTCTCTTCAGAATTTTTCTAAATCTCATACCTTTCAGCATACCTACAGCTAGAAAAGCCATTCAGGTATCAAAATGTTCGGCTCTTTAAGGCCATTCCTACTTTATTGCATCTCATCCTTCAGATTATTCAATAAAGAACTTCAGCCATTTCTTCTCAACTGTTTCAACAAAGAACTTCAGCCATTTCTTCTCATCTTTCAGCTGTTTCAGCAATTGATTTCAGGCATTTTCAGGACAATCTTTCAGCTTTTATTAGCATCCACACGCATTTTCGACAGGAAATGCATTTCTCTAGTTTTTACTTGTGGTTTAAAATAAATCAGCACTAAAGGAAGAAAAACGGACTCCGTTATTCAGAACTGTCCAATTAAACAACTGGGGTATTACACCTTGCTCAGTTTAAAATGTGTTTTCTCGTGCGGATTATTATGCGTTCATAAACTCCTTAACTTCTGCAGTAGTTATCGGGCTCGGGCGCTTCTTGTGTTTGCACAAGATGACTTTCTAAGGATTTCTTCTAGTCCTCCCGGCTGCTCATCGGCCATTGTGGACGACGGAAAGGGGCAAGGACTTCTTAATTTGCCCGCTGGCCAGAGTACTTGTATGCATGAAGAACCGGATGCATCAACAACGGGATGAGCCATGAGGCTGCTGTCCCGGGTCAAATCGGACCGCTTGCAACCGGGAATGGATTAGTGTCGTTTTGATTTTCGGAGGGTTTGTAAATGCAATTTTATTTGTGTGAGGTTCTTTGTAGCGAGTCTGGGGTTTCTGTTGTATAAACTCCAAAATGAGCAGATAGCTCACTTGTTGCGGAGCTTGTGATTACAGCTGTTTGCACCGTACCCTCCGTGTTTGGCTTGTTTTTCCTACCGCATCTACAACTTTGAGGCTCCCATCTGAGAGCCAGTCATGAAGATGGCGGCATCACAGCACCCCTGGGCGCACATCATAATCACATTATTGTCTTTATGCTCCCTGATCCTGCGCAGCGCAGTGGCAGATGTCCCAGTGCAGGAAGGCTTCAGTGCTGAGGTACAGTAATGTCTGTGGGTTTTGTTTATAGTCGTAATATTTGACATTTGTAAATAGTTTACGAATCTAAAGCTATCATGATATTACTAAAAAAATATCTGAAATGACTCTTCAACCTAATACATTTCTTCATATCTTCATGTTTGTGTTGGCCAAACATAAAAGTACCAGGGATGCTATTTGACCTTATGACCTTCCAAAAAACATTAGCTCTGCACATATGGCACACACAGGGAATCTATCTTTCATAGGAGTGTGACTGAATTGCAAGCTGAAAGCCATCTGTAGTTAAAAAAAAATATACTTTGCCTTTAATGGAATCCTTCTCTGAAAAGACAATTTCATGTTAAAACAAAATTCCACACTTAATTATATTGATAATTTTTAAGACTTGATTTGATTATCAAACTCGTACACAACTTCTCTTGTACTTAATTGGCATATAAGCAAATAATGAATGATTGATTATATAATTACTGTTGGGAATAATGAAGTACATGAGATGCAGCCAATACTGACCAATTTGAATATTTAATATACATATTATGTAAATTGTATATCTATATATACACATGAACAGCTCTACTTCCTTCTTTTGTGTTTTTAAGGCATTAGATTTTCAGGCTCACTCTGGCATTAGATTGGCTGAGATTTATCATGCTATGCAGAAATTGTCTTGAAGGAGTTTCTGTCTGAGTGTGTGAACTCTATATCATAAAATATAACAGAGGTCAGAAGCCATCATCCTGTTTGCTGAGCTACATGGCTCTACATGCTCAGTTTCACCGTTAGCAAGCATGAAATGTGTGAGGGTCGGTGCGTAAAGCTGCCGATGATGTTGAGGGTGAGCTCAATTATAACGCCAGACGAAGAACAGGTAGAGTCTAGATACTTTACTGGTAACACAAAATAAACAGAACAAAAGTCCAGAATCCACATCAGGTCAGTAATACAATCCAAGGTCAATGCCGGCAAACACACACATCCGAGAGATCCACAATCTTGAGGTCAGAGAGGAGATATCCGAGGGTCGGTACACAGCAGGCTAACAGACTCAGGGGGGACAAGGCAAAACACGGTGGTCAAACCAGGGTCAGAACAAGTGAATCATGCACAAGAATAATTGCTGGAAAGTCAGAGCTGGCGTCTAGAACAATCTGGCAGCGTCCTGGTGGGAGGACACTGCCTAAATACGGGTGAAAACAGGTGTAAACAATAGAGTCCTGATTAAAGTAAAAAGTTCGTGACTAAGCTATAGCTAAACAGGAAGTTATGTCAAAACAAAAGCATACAACCGGAAACAGGCGGAACAGAGTCATGACAGAAATGGAGAAAAAATGTAGTATGTGTCAGACTGTCAGAGGTGCACACATGCAGAGATGTGTGTTTATGCTATGTACCAGCAGATGGACATACAGTTCAGTTATTGTCAAGAACCTTTTTTTGTTTCCAGTTGTGCTCTCCTCATCTTGGCTGTCAGTGGCAGAATGAGAACGCAGGAACGTCATAATGTTAATGGGACCCATCTGGTTTCTGTCTCCATTTATTTTCTTTTAGCTCCTCAGATACTATGCAGTCATTAGACAGTGTGGCTTGTTCCTGGATTAGCATAACAGTGCTCCCACAGTTGAAGCTGTCATATACATATGTACACTATGCGTCACTCACACACATCAGACACATGTTAAGCAGCTTATCTCAGGCCAGATTATGCACAAATAATTTTCTGTTTTCTTCTTGAAGTTTGGCTCCCTGCCTCAGGCCAGTAGACAGTTGTCCCCCATGCAGTCAGCTCAGAGTCTGTCCAAAGCTATCAGGGACATGCAATACTTCTATGGACTGGAGGTGACTGGAGAGATGGACCCTGCCACTGTCATGTAAGCTCTATATTGACTGATAGCAGTGGTTGTATTCTAGAAGATGCCTGTTTCACAGACATGCAACATTACCAGACATCTGTGTGCAGAGGCCACAAACCAAAAGCAGGGAATTTGTGTTAGGGGTTTTTTAAGGCTTGTAGGAAGTTATTATTATTAGAAGGAAAATAAAGAATCTATTTTTTCATGCTTTTATAGTATAGATTGAAATGGCCACAAGTCTCAGGTTTTCATTTGAGAATGTAGGGTAACAAGCCACACACCCCATGAAGCAATTTGTTTCAGGGCACTGGCTCTTACTGCCAGATGAATGTGTTCACTGATAACTGATAAGACTGATTAACCTTTCCAGCTCATAACAGGTTTATATAATAATAAGGTTTACAGTGCAGTTCATTTAGCATATATCACCTCTTCACTAATGAGGCCAGTCAGGCCATTGTGCCATATCCCTATATCCCACTGTGACTTTGATATATTCCGTAAAGCTGTTGTTTTCATACTGTATACTATATTTAAGGTTAAGGAAATGTGGCAAGGTATTAAAGGAACAAATTTTGGGAAGTAAGATTTATTGTGTTTTTGCTGAGAGTTAGATGAGGTGATTGATACCACTCAGGTTTCTGCAGCTACAAATAGCTGCTGAGCATAAAAACTGGAAATGGGGGAAACAGCTTAAGGGAAATGTGGGAAACAGTAATCTCTTTGTACAGCGATTACAAAATTCACCTACCACCACTAACTTATCAACATGGTATATCTGTTGTTTTATTCATACAAAATCTGAACTGAACTAAACTGGCATGGTAGAAGATTTTATTACCTTTGTACAGAGCTAGGCTGGCTGTTTTCTCCTGTTCCCAGTCCTTGCGCTAAACAGCTTCTATATTTCTGTACACACACATAATTCACAGTCATTCACAGTTTTAGTTTTTACAGAAATCTAAAATGTAGCCGGGCAGCACGGTGGCGCTTTGGCGCAGTGGTTAGCACTTAGCACCGTTGCCTCACAGCGAGAAGGTTCCGGGTTCGCGCCCCACCTGGGACCTTTCTGTGTGGAGTTTGCATGTTCTCCCCGTGCTTGTGTGGGTTCTCTCCGGGTACTCCGGCTTCCTCCCACAGTCCAAAGACATGCAGCTTAGGGTGATTGGTGTCTCTAAATTGCCCATAGGAGTGTGTGTGTGGTTGTTCGTCTATGTGTTAGCCCTACGATGGATTGGCGACCTTTCCAGGGATGGCCCTAGAAAATGAATGAATGAATGAATGAATAAAATGTAGCCTTAAGCACTGATAAGTCTTGTGTGTAGCCTGGTATTACTCATGTTGTGGGGACATAAATCTGTTTACACAGTCACACTGTATGGACTCCATCCTTATAGGGACAAAAGCAAGTCCCCAAAATTACATTTTAGAGTGATGGCTTGGTTTAAGGTTAAAGAGGGGTTAGAGTTAGCTTAAGGTTAGGTGAACTCTCCAGGAAATTAATGTAACTCAATGTTCTGTGAAGTTATGGAAATTCAACAATTGTATGTGTTTGGCTGTATAGGGCCATGCGCCGACCTCGCTGTGGCATCCCAGACAGAAAAGCAGAGGAACTGGGCGATGGAGTGAGGAAGAAACGCTTTATACTCACTGGGCAGCAGTGGGACAAAGACCACATCACTTACAGGTTTACAGCACTGAAGTGTAAAGATTATACAGTAAAGCTGAATGTTTGACATAGTAATCTTGATGTGCTTTCTCTTCTGGCTTCAGTATAATGAACCAGCTCATCCCGTCCTCGCTGGGAGAAGGGAGAGTGTATGATGCCATCCGCAAGGCCTTTGATGTGTGGTCACGGGTCACACCACTCACCTTTGAGGAGCTGCCTTCTGAAAACAGCATCAACAGCAGCCAGGCAGATCTCGCTGACATCCTGCTGTTGTTTGCCTCTGGTTACCATGGTGATATGTCCTTGTTTGATGGAGAGGGGGGGTCACTGGCGCATGCCTATTATCCTGGACCAGGAATTGGTGGGGATACACACTTTGATGCTGATGAGCCCTGGACACTTGACAACCAAGAAGGTTAGTGGATTGAGTTTTCTTTGTCTTGTGGGAACTGAGTCTGCTTTGATGTCATACTAATATAATCTAAACTGTAGATTAGCTTGTTAGTGTAATATATTTGCCTTAATTTCATTAAAGTGCTTTCCTCAGTTTGGGCTAGGTAAACACCATCTTTGTAGTGTCATCATGACTTGCAAAATGGTAAAGAAAAAACTCATTTTATGTGCTTCAAACATGTTCCAAGTACAACATTTTTCAGGGAGTACAGAGATCACCTAGAGAAAAATGTGGTTTCCCTGGTTTGGTTTTACATGGTACTAATATAACTATAGCAACATTACACTGTCATTACAATGTCAGTGCCATTAGATCTCATTTTTATTTGATTTTAAATGTTCAGCCTGAGTTGAGAGACTCGCAGTAAGTTGTGAATGAACTATGTCCTGTTCAGGGGCAGATCTAGAAAATTGTAGATGGGGTAGCCAGGCTGGGGCACAGACTCAAAGGGGTGGAACATTTGAAATGCATGCAAAGCATAAATTCAACCCCTAGTTCTATGAAAGAGTAAACCATACAATAAGAGTCTAATTGTTTTTATTGTATAAAAATGAGACACACACAGTGCTTTCTTCATCTAACTTTGGCTGCACCTCTTATTTACTCCTGGGTGGGGACATCACTGTGATGCAATGTTTTGCCCTCACTGAAACCAAGTACTCCACAGCAACACTATTGGAGAAATGAATGCAAATATCATGCTGGATGCATGATATAAAATTAAACTAATTTGACCAATGGTAATCATCAAACACCAGAAAAATGTTAGTTATAATTAATCTTTCATTCTTTAATAATAACAAGCACCCCTTGGCTCCACCCATGGTCCTGCTAGCACTGTGCTTTTCAGCACAAAAACGGCACAAGCTCTGTTTAAAGGTTCCTGTGTGTGAAGTTGGCAGTTTTTATTGATAAGAATTAATATGTATCACATTATATGTGCTGTAATATTGTAACATTCCTTTGTTGTACATTTTTTCAGGCAAACAGTGATGTGAATTAAATACTTCATGTTACGCACTACATATCTGTCACTGTTTGTCGTGCAGGTATAGACCTCTTCCTGGTTACGGTCCATGAACTTGGTCATGCTCTGGGTCTGGAGCACTCAAACAACCCTAGTGCTGTAATGGCTCCTTTTTACCAGTGGATTCACACACAGAACTTCTCACTGCATGAGGATGACATCAGAGGAATACAGTACATATATGGTGAGAAGCACACACATCTGTTCTGATGCACCTATCTAGTATTTGTGTCTTCAACAGCACAGAGTCATTTAAAGCTGACAGTATTTGGACTTAGTAGCCTTTAGACCTCTGTAGCATTTAAGTTTAGTATTTTGTATTAGGTGTTACAAAGATACTTCCCTCATTCGCTACAGGCTGCAGACAGTTCAGTTAAGTGGGTGTATGAAGAAGTCAGGATGTGAAAATACCTTAATCTATTAAAAAAAACTAGTGGCACTGTAATGAATTTACTTAGAGTGCTCTCTGTGAGTCACATGGCGCTTCTTATCATTATTTCCTCTGCTTGCACACAGATGGTTGAATAGTGGAGCGACGTTATTGGCTAAAACAGTTTTTCAGCAACAACTATCCTGAGCTAGCATAGGAGGTTATTGCATAATAGATTGTTAATTTAATATGTTTTTCCACCCCTAAGGGAACACGGCTCTCCAGTAACATGTTGTGTAATTCTTGTGTAAATCACCCTGGTCTAAAATCACTGTGAGGTTGAAGTGAGAATGTCAGCTATGATTTGTTGTTGTATGCTCTAATATCACATCTGGACCCTGGTCAGAAAAGCCTTGTGAAGGAGATTAAAGAATTAACAGGCAAATGCGCTCAGTCAGCCACACACTACAACAGTGGCGCTGACTCAAAACAGAATGTCATGCATGCTGTTGAGATGTCATCATGCTTTCAGTGTGTGAATGGGTGACATTGTTAATTGACACCTGACATTTGTGTGTTTCTGCATGTTGGTTAGAGAAAGAGCTCGTTCGTGTATTAAAGTTTATTGTGTGTATGGTTAGTGTTTCTGCAGTCGTCCTAGTAGAGCTGTAATTAGAAACCAGAATGTCACACTAGTTATATTGATTAGTGCTCCTATTGACAAAAACAAGGACTTGCCACAAGGTTTATGGCTTACTTTTTATGCACATATTTATTTTTATTATTATATATATTATTTTTATTTTTTTTATTTATTTTTTTTACTGTCCATTGTTTTGCCCTGGCCACATCTCTGGTGTCATATAACAGATCAAAAATTCACTTTAGGAATTTTCTCTACAGTTTTTATTTCTCCAGCCCAAAATCCTTCCACACCCACACACTTCTGGCCTATTGATATGCCTACAGTAGCTGTCGGCACCAGAGGAAATGAGTTTTCATGTGATTTTTAGCTCTAAATACAACAAGGTAAATGTTTGGACTTAAATTATACAGCAGGTTCATTTATTAAAGCTAAAGGACTGTGTTGTAGGAAAGCTGTGATTGGATCCTTAAAAGGATCAGACGACTATAAACAGAGACAAACACAGCATAAACATTACCGGTGAAATAAACATTTGGGCTCCTTTGCAGAGCTTTTTATCCATTTTTTGCAATGGTAGCTTTGCAGATTTTCTGCCTACTATGGCAGTTTCTCCTAATCAGCTACTCATCTTCTGACTTAACCATTTAGGGGAGGGACATAGAGCCTTCACAGTATCATTTACTGTAGCAGGCTAAATTCATTAATTACACAAACAACCACACACACACACATGCACTCCTATGGGCAATTTAGAGACACCAATCAACCTAAGCTGCATGTCTTTGGACTGTGGGAGGAAGCCGGAGTACCCGGAGAGAACCCACGCAAGCACGGGGAGAGCATGCAAACTCCACACAGAAAGGTCCCAGGTGGGGCCCGAACCCGGAACCTTCGCGCTGTGAGGCAACGGCGCTAACCACTGCTTCACCGTGCTGCCCTAATTACTTTGTTACTAAAGTAAAAGCTAGAAAGTTACTGTATAGTATATATGAGCTTGTGAAAGTGTTAAAATACTATTTGCTGTATATAAATCTGTGTCCATATGTAGCATGAAGCAGTTGACCAAAAGGGAGGATTTAAAATAATGTAAAGACGAATAGAACTCTGCATTAACTACAGCTTACTTTAAAGTAGCACTTGTCAATATATATTAACAACGACTCCCATTAATATGTGATGACATGTTGGTGATGAGCTAGTGGAGTAGGACCATTTAGCAGCCATGTAGAGGCAGCTGTTCCCCCCAGAATACCAAAACTGAGCTAAAAAGAGAATGAAAAAAATCACTTTGTAACATCAACAGAAGTCCGTGCCACTGTACAGGGGCTGTAATTTTGACTTTCACACAAGGCAGCTAGTAACAGACCTTTTTCCTCTGATGAAAATAGCCAGATGAGTCTTTCATCACATAGTGAGCCTTTCAAGGCACTAAAATACAATGCTACAAATAAAATACTATAAACTAAGGAGAGAGTGAGAGAGAAGAGTGGAAGTAAAATAAAACACAGAATGAACGATAAAAACAAGGTCACTCATTAAGTGACCACAAAAATTACCTGAATACAGTAACAGAGTCGCAGAGTGCCATGATGTCTCTGTTGCTGCTTTGAGACAGTGTAAAGCCTCACTTAGAAAAAGAAATATGATATATTCCCAGCAATAGCTTTGGCTCAGTGTAGCTCAGTGCGTCTTCAGGCCCATCAGCTGTCCCTGTGTGTTACATAACTGGCAGTGTGTTGTCCTCTCTTAGCAACCAGCAGGGCTTTTTCCAGAAAACAGCACAGTCACAGTGAAATAGAAAATTGTATCTTCTTTGTGTGAGGGAGACAGAGAGAGGATATAGTGTGAGGAGAAGGGGGGAGAATGTAAAAGAAATGATGTGCTGCCACACAGACAGGTTGAAGATTTGTTTCATTTCAGATGGAAGTTGTTTTTTTCATTTGACCACGTTTACCGTGAAATTCAACCTTTTCCTATCTTATTCTTAGCCCAAGCTCTCCATCTTTTCTTTCTTAGGCCCTCCTGTCATCACTGATGCTCCACCCAGTACTCCTCCCATCCCCAACAACAAACCCAAGAGCGACTCCCCCACCTCCCCTTCTCCTCCTGAAGATGAATGCACATCCACATCTCCCACCCAGGCCCTACCCAATCCACCTAACCCGACTGACAACAGCCCAAATCCCCCGGCCCAATCAGAACCCACCCCCAACTCTACCGTAAGTCCCGTCATCCCCACCTCCACCCCTACCAACACCCAGCCTGAGCCAGACCCTGTCACCCCACCGGTTAGAAAAGATGTCCCCACTCCTCCTCCTCGGCCCCCTGCTCCTCCACGGCCTCCCAAGGTGCCGGACAACCAGGCCCCTGACATCTGTGATGGGGACTTTGACACGGTGACCGTGCTGAGAGGGGAGATGTTTGTTTTCAAGGTGACCACATCTCCTGCAGATGTTTAAACCAGGAGTTACAGTATAAGCTTTTAATTTTACACATGTTGAGGCTCAAGGAACGTGTTGCTACTCCACAGTGTTTTTACAACCCCCGACCCACACAGGAAAGAGCATTTACAAATTTACAAACCAATGTGACCCAGTTTGGAGTCACAACAAGCAAGCCATGTCAGGGGAAGTGAACAATAAATAGTTTGCATGAAAAATAAACATAATTTTTTATTCTTCTTCTGTGCAGGGTCGCTGGTTCTGGAGGGTGCGGAGGAACCGGGTCTTGGATAACTACCCCATGGCAATTTCTGTTTTTTGGATCGGTCTGCCCAGTGACATTGATGCTGCATATGAACGCCATGATGGCAAATTTGTCTTCTTTAAAGGTATGTCATAGCTTTTGATGACCAATAAAACCTGTCACTCTGCCACCACAGTCTCCACATGCTGAGCAGATTGTGTGATGTGTTCAAAACCTTCTTGGAAGTGAATTTTTTTTAAATAGTTTAACACCTTGCCTAAGGGCACAACAAAGGTTTTTTTCCTCAGCTTTCCTCAGGCACTTTCCCTGTGCAAAGCTGAAGCCAACGTGAAGCTGTTCAAGTGTGCTCTGAGCATAGATTTGAACCATTCAAACTGAAAGCAAATAGCATAAACTCAGCATTTTTGTCCGCAGCACAGTGTCATTTACAAGGAGATGGTTATAATTCAACACAGCTATAATTCTACATATCTGGCACACGCACACTAGGATGCAAAACTATTTAAAACTCTAGAAGTTACATAAAAAAGCCAAATGATTCACTGTTCAAATGGTCTGATACTCTGGTTGCAGACAAAGACAAAACATTGCATGTGTGTGGCTTTGCATGTGTATGACTGTGTCACTGACTTTATAAGTGTGTGTTACTGGGTTCATTGGGGGTTTTTAATGAGGTTTCTGCAGCGTGGCAGATGTTGCTGGTCCAGTACAACTCTAGTCCAGCTTAGCCCTAAAAGGGCTCGTGAGAGAGGGGGAGGATTGTATCAGCCTCCTCTGCACTGCTCTGCTCCAGATGTGAACATCTGCAGTTCTTGTACCTTAATAGTGAGGTCATGTGATGATTTGTCATGCATTTTCAGGATTTTTGTGCTTTTAATCATGGATGTACACAGAAGTGTCTTAATGATTTGTAATCTTGCTGTTATTCTTGCTTTTTCATCACATTTGCGAGGAAAGAAAAGCTGCACAAGTTGTTTTTGAGGAACACATACTTCATGTGCATGGCCTCTTTAAAAAACAAAGGATCAGAAAGGCACCAGGCCCAGTGGTGTGTACTGTGCACCAAGACAACCAGGCACAAGGACAGTTTCTTCCCCCAGGCTGTCACTCTGATGAACACTTAACCCACGACAGTATGACTGAACAATAACCCTCAGTGCAATACCTGTAAATATACATTGTACAGATTATACAGATCTGTACAGGTCTCTATTTTAAGTACTCCATTTTTATTCTTATTTATCTTTGTTCACAATATGCATTTCTTTGTCTGTCTGCATTGTTTACTGCCTGTTTATACTGGTTATTTTGCATAGTTTGCACTGTTTGTAGCTTGTTAATACTGTTTATTTTGTTATATTACACAGCCTAATGCTGGTTTACTGTTTACTTGCCCCTTGCATGGAGATATGTACATACACACTGAGAGCCGATGTACCAGAGTCAAATTCCTTGTGTGTCCAACACACCTGGCCAATAAAGCTGATTCTGATTCAGAGGTTCTCACACAGTAGTATAGTGTATATACTGTGTTGGCCATATGAAGCCAAACTGATTTAACTATCACATTAGAGAAAACATTAGATCAGAATGGTTAAAAACCAAGTGTCCACCAATAAGTAAAAGGCCCTGTGCACAAGCTTATCTATTATTAGTTCAGTATGTTGCTGTGCTCCGGCACTAGAGGTGGAAAGTGGCTGAAAGTGTGCCCAAAGGTCAGGGTTCACGGAGGAGCTGGCTTCCACGCAATGAGATCTTGAAAAAAATCTGTGTTATGCCCACCAATTCGACCTACATTTTTTCTGGAGTGAGCAAACACCATGACATGTGCCATATGTTCTCACCCTTGCTTTCTCTCCCCTTCTTTTCCTTCTACATGTCTGTTTCTGTCCCGTTCTCATATTTCCATTCTGTTAGGTAGGTAACAAACTTTACCTGTGTAAGCAGGTTCCTCTGTGTATGCCTCTGTCTCTTTAGAGACATGTTTGTCCTTTTGTCCCCACAGATGATAGATACTGGGTGTTCAGGGAAGCTGATGTACTGCCAGGATACCCACAACCCTTATATGAGTATGGACAAGGAGTTCCTACACACAAAATCGACACAGCAATCTGGTGGGAGCCCAATGGATATACATACTTTTTCACAAGAGACAGGTAGATCACAGACACCAAAAATATGCATCAAAGTCAATAAAATGTTAAGACAAGTAATGTAAAGAATTGTCTTAATGTCTTAACATTTTGTCACCTTTCCATATAAAGTCATAGACCAAACTGTAACTGTACACAATGATTATTATTGTCTGTGTGGAGGTACTGGCAATTCAATGAGGAGACCCGGACTACAGACCGTGACTTCCCCAAGCCAATCAGCAGATGGGGCAGCATCCCTCCCTCACCCAGAGGAGCCTTCCTCAGTGATGATGGCGGTAAATTTATTGAAATAAGGCCAATAGAAAGGGACATAGGAGTAGCTTCTTCTCATGAGATTCACAACAGACACCAAAAGCTGTTTATGCAGCGTTGAAAGCAGGAGAACAGCATTAGTGAGTAGAGGTGGAGGAAGGGAAATAATGAAAGGTTAGAGGGGTGGAATGGGGTGTGTAAAAGTGTCAGGGACCAAGCAGTAAGGCAAAAGACACAGCTTTCAAAATTCAAAATAAAGGGTTTTTATTAACCCAAAAGCAAGAAAAATACAAAATTAACATCAGATAAACTGGGCCCTAAAAGAGGTCAACAAAAGATAAGGAAACTCAAAATACAGCAAACTGAACTGTCTCAACAAAACCAACTGAACTGTCTCAACAAAACCAACTGAACTAGCAAATGACACACACAGGGGAACATATATACTGGCTGATCAAACCAATAACACACACAAGGGGTAAACTAAAGGCACTACCAAAGCAATCAACTAATAAACACTAAACAGACAGTCTGCTCTCAACTAAATATTTCCTTTAAATATAAAGAAATTAACATAACTTGACAAATAAAGCTCTAACATAAACTACCAACAAATAAACAATAAATTTCTCCCAAACTCCCCCCTTTCTTGTATTGGGCACTTGGTGCAGTCCAGGCCTAGTGGGAGGTATTTAAACCTGCTGCTTCCTCAGTCCAATCTTTTAGCTGAACTGCCCCCCCCTCCATAGACCAGGAAACATGGTAACTCAAAAGAAAAGGTAAACATTAACAATACAAAATTAATCAAACGTGCATGCTCATTGATCAATTGTGTATGTCTAATATGAATTACCCACCCAAGTCCATGGCTGGTGGTGGTTTAGGTCCTCACATGGTGAAGGCCAGGACTGAGGCCTTCACAAAAAGACAGAAAGAAAAATTACATTTGAGACTGGTTAGGCTGAAGCAAGCAGAGCATAGAGAAGAGTCAGGGGATAAGAGAGAGCTCTGGTTTGAGGGTTGGCCCATCCTTCCTTTGCACTGTTTCGTGGGATGGCTGTGGCTTAGGAGGTAGAGTGGGTCGTTTCCTAACTGGAAGATTAGCAGTTCGATTTCCGGCTTGTCCAGTCAACATGCCGAAGTGTCCTTGAACAAGGCACTGAACCCCCCGTTGCTCCCAGTGATAACATCAGTGTGTGAATGTGTGGGTGTAAGTGGCCAAACAGTGTGAAAACGCTTTTGAGTGTACTGTAAAGCGTAGAAAAGCACTATACAAGTATAAGACCATTTACCATTTTACCATTTCCAGTCTTATGGTAAGCTAACTGTCTTGTGGCTGTGTTTAATATGTGGCAGAAAGACATGAGTGGTGTCTGTCTTTTCATCTCACTTGTCAAGAATATTAATAAGCTTTTTTTTTTTTTTCAAAATGCCTTTAAAAATAAAATTGAAAGCAAAAAATTTGTTTTTAATTTCTGAAATAATAAAAGCTTGGTGAGCTAGTCATGAGTCCACTGTTGCACTGACATGGCAGTCTTCTCACTGCAGCATTTATCCAACACACCTGTTAATTATGGCGGTGTATTTGCATAATGAATTCTCTTCTCTCTCGTGCTCCATGGCTGCTGCTACACTGCTCATCTGAACGCCATCCCGATGCTTGCTTTTGCCACTGCTGCTGTTCATATAGTACATCAGAATCCCCACCTCCACTCCAGCATCCACCTGTAGTCTCTAAGTCAAGGGGTGAAGTTATCTTTACTTCCCACTCCCTGATCTTTCCTAGTGGGGAGTGATGAAGGGGAGAACCATCACACAGTACATATTCTATATTCACATATAATGCATTAAACATGAGTTGTCCTCCTGAAATCTCTTTTATCTTCCTCTCTTGCAGCTTACACCTATTTTTACAAAGGCACTAGTTACTGGAGGTTTGACAACCACAAGACAGAAGCAGACGAGGGCTACCCTCGCTCTATTCTAAAGGATTTCATGGGCTGCGTGGGAGTCCGGGATACGGACAATGAGCAGGAGCCAAAAGACAACCCAGTGAACCCTTCAGACCGAGGCAAAGAAGAGCACAAAGAGCCAGAAAGGGGTCAAGACAAAGCCACAAACCCAGATGAAGATCAGAGCTCTAAGCCTGATGGTGCCCAGGTGGAGGACAAAGACGTGAATGTGGTTGTGACGGTGGCAGATAATGAATCAAAGGTCATGACCCTAATCATGGTGACTGTTCCCCTGGTACTCATCCTGTGCATCCTCATCCTAATCTACACCATCCTCAGGACTCTGCAGAACAAAGAGGCGCCAAGGATCTTGACGCACTGCAAGCGTTCACTGCAGGACTGGGTATAAAGCACAGAATCAGAACAGCTTCCAGCGGGTGTCCATCATTTGTCTGGTTCAGACATTAGCATCTTGTGGTGCAGTAGAAAGAAGCTTTGACACAGTACTAATGTCAACAAAAGCTGAGAATGAGTCACCTTTTTGAGCCCCATTTGCTGTGAGAACTTTTACTCCTCATGCAAAGTAATCTTAATGTGGTAAAGTTGGAATGCATTATTAAGTCTTTATTTTGATCAAGACACTTCAAACAAATGTTGACATTTTCTTTACGGTGAGAATTTGCACTTTTGATTCTGTTTTTGTTGTTTTTGTTTTGCTGAGGTTGCTTCTCTGCAGATGTGTGTGGCTTTGTGCAGTGCACAATTCTGTGCTTATTAAAAACACACCATTAAGAGAAGCTTCAGCCAGCACAGGAATGTCAGACAGCTGTGTGACGGCCTGTCTCCCACTGAGCCTGTTATGTCTGCCCTCTCTTACACACACATACTGTATATCACCATCACATGATCTAGAAAAAAACCCTAGCTGCACTCATTTGTGCATGTATGTCCACATACACAGACACATAGAGAGACCACTTGCCCAAACAAAGGCACCGCAGCCTCGATAACAGTTCACACACTGCACCACTGCAAACACAATCCCAGCGGAGACATATTGATATAAAACTGGTGCCAGGGTTGCAATATAATCATTTTTAATGATTGAAGCTGAAAGATATTATGTTTTGAAAATTTCAACCATCTCAACTCAACCTGTGAAGAGCAACGACATAGTAGTAGTGTCTTTGTTTTTTCATCTTTTTTCATGTTAAAGCTAAATAGAATATAAAGTAATAATACGTACAAGGGAGAAGCCTGCAGTATAGAAAAGAATGGGTCAGGATCTGGTTTCCATTAAACCCACATGTTTAGTAGTGTCAGGCATGGGGGGAATTGGGAAAAATGCAAAAAGGAGGAGGTACGAAAATAGTGGGGAGTTGAGAAGGAAATGAGAGCAGATGAGATGAAGAGGAAAAGAAAGAAGCTGGGGGAGGCAGAGCCTGAGGAGGGGAGAGGGCTCTGCCAGCATTTCCTTTCCAGTATTCTGTGGTGAAGGAGGAAGGTTTAAAGGATTTCTGGGAGGGCCAGCGCTGGTGTTGCACCCTCTGACCTAGATCAGGTCACTGAGTCCACTCCTCCTCTTTAAACTTTTTGTTTTTAATCGTACTTTTATCAGAACCTGAGTGGACTTCTTCTATCAGCTCTCTCCCTCCCCTAACCTTTTCACTTTACTTTTTCCTGTTGTTTTTTTTTTTATTCTGGGCCTATTGCTTTGTTTCAGTGCTGTAACTCACCCCACTTCTTTTGCTCTCCACTTTTCTGGAAAACCTTATAAAATGTAATTAAACAGCATTGTTCCAACAGATATTTCCTAATGGTGTTTGGATGATGGTGGTGGAGATGCTTTCTAACACGTCACTCCAACATCTCTCGTAAGTGTTCCACTGGGTTGAGATCTGGTGGCTGTGAAGGCCACAGCATATGATTCATGTCACTTTCATGTTCAAACCATTCAGTGATGGGGGCACTTTTATCCAGGGTTTTCCTGAATAAAAGCTGCTGTGCTGTAAAGTATGTAGCCACAGACATTTACAGAAGCATATATTTTGAAAATCAGGCACGTTTTGGGGCGCTTATGTGATCTTAATTTACAATTGTGCTTTTATTTTGAAATTCTGGCATATTTGGGGGATTTAATGTAATCTTAATGGGCAAGCTGGGCTTTTATTTTGAAAATCCGTCACATTTTGGAGCCTCCAGGTGAGCTGAAGTTACAATCTGGAGCTTATATTTTAAAAATCTGAAATGTTATTGGGCCCTCATGTGGTGTAATTTGTAATCACAGGCTTTTATTGTGAAAATCCAGCATATTTTGGGGCCTTTATATGAGTTTAAGTTGCATTCAGGGGCTTTTATTTTGAAATTCTGGCGAGCTTTTGGGCCTTTATTTAAACAGTATGCAATCAGACTTTTATTTTGAAAATTTGGCATATTTTCGGGACTTCTTTTGAACTCTTATTTTGAAGGCAGACCAACCTGTGTTTGTGTGTTTGCGTGTGTGTGTGTGTGTTGGTGTGTCACTGCGCCACTGTGTGTGCTACTGCATGTCACTGTATTGCTTTGATTGTACAGTTTATGTTTGGCTTTTATTTTGTGTGTGCATGTTATTCTGTTGCTGTTTGTGTGTGTAAAAGTAGCAGGTGCATCGTTAAGTGTTTCAGCAGTTTGAGGGCAGTACAGCAGATTTCAGTGAAACATGGGCTTCGAACAATTGACAATTGAAGAACAAGTATAAGTCCTATCAAAAAAAATCTCTTGACTATGAGTGGCAGGAGGCTTCAATGAAAATGTTGATCACCTTTATGTCAAGATATTCCACAAAATGAAGGAGCCGTGGCGATTTACAAATACGCTCACTGTTTTCTTTGCAGGGATTTTCTGAATCATCTCTTTGAATGGAAGTCTATGGAAGAGTGAGGCGGCATACTCTCTGGAATGTGCCACGTATTTCAAAAACTATTCATCCTATCGCAAGATAGGATGAATGCAGATTCTGACATTGTGCCACATAACATGCCAAATTTTCAGAATAGAAACTGTGAGGCATGTTCTTTTATTTGAGAAGAGAAAACTAATAAAAGGATAGTTCACAGTGTGAAATTTATTATGCATTAACTTATCAAAATAAGCATGTGTACATGGATCTTCACTGTTTAGGAAAAACAGAAAAGACTGTCCTCAACTTATCGGTATACAATATTTGTATGAAAAGGTACTACTATCTAATTGGTCAAAAACTGTTGGGGAGGAGCCGTGGTTTGGACTTAACTCTCCCGTCATTGGTCCTTCAGTCCGTCCATCCTTCTATGTCCTTCCTGCTCCAGTCATAGAGGACAGCGCCCTAGGAAGGGGAGGAATACTTATACTGCCTTAATTTCTACATAGACACTCACTTCTTCTTTTATTTCTGACTGCTCCATATTAGGCATTGCTTTCTGTTTCACCAATTAAAACTGCTCTGCCTGTGTGTGTGTGTGTGTACATAATGGTTCTACCTTTGAAGTGTTCCCCTCTTTCAGCCTCCAGATCTAATCTCTGTTTAAATAACCTTGGGGTATCAGTGAACCATAACTCCCCTGATTCCATTAGCCAGGTGGTGATAAAAGATTGACTGTGGACTCTCATAGTCAGAGCTGTAAATCTAATGACATTTAGTGAACAAGTCCCTATGATGTTGAACAGTGCTTCAGTAACTAACACAGTAAATATTGACCAGTGATTCAGTGAACACATAGGATATGTGACTGTGTAAACATATCTGTTACATATAAGTATGTAAACTTATGTTATAAAATAAAAACCTTAACAAATCCTATTCATAAGTGCATAAAATAAAAATCACCCTAACAAAACCCCTCATTATAAACTTTGTCTGGCATGAAGGCCCAGAAAGACACAAGAGTTTCAAAATAAAACCCCAGGATAATAAATGAAGCTCACATAAAGTCCTGGTACCGTGCCAGCTTCTCAAAATAAAAGCCCCCATTTAACAAATTAAGTTCATGTGAAAGCCCCATGACATGCCAGATTTTTAAAATAAAAGCCCCTGATTACAAATTAAGTTCACATGAAGGCCCCAAAACAAGCCCGATTTTCAAAATAAAAGCTGAGTTCTAACGTCAGGTTGTACGAAGTCCCCAAAACATGCCAGGTTTTCAAAATAAAAACTGAGATTGAAAATTTCAGAATTTAAACTCCCAACTTCAGCTTTTCTTTTCATCTTCCATAATTGGTCAACATTTTCTTTTCATCTTCCATAATTATTCAGCATTTTCTTTTCATCAGCATTGCATTTCAGCCTTTAGCTGTTTCAGCTGTGGATTTCAGCATTTTCAGGGCAATTCTGTAGCAATCAGCATCCACATGCATTTTCTGCAGGAAATGCATTTTTCTCGTGGAAGACTAATAGCTGAAGATTTGCCAATTTTCCAGCTGAAAGCATACTGAACTGGTTAGGGCTGAAAGAGTGGGAAGTTTTAATGGGATTTTTTTTTTTAAAAAAGCTAAAAATTTTAAAAAGTATGAAGGTCAGAAAAATTCTGAATAGAAGCAGTAATGCCTTTGAAGGGCTGAACATTTTGATGTTTGAATGGTATTTCTAGGTGAAAGTATGTTGGAGGAATTAGGTGCCTAATGTATAACATGTTCACTGGATAACCAAATAAATTTGTTAGAAAGTTTTGCAGAATGTCATTGCATTTTCCTTTCATATTTTATATATGTTTGATTTTATATAAACACTGTCCTAAATGAAGTAGCCAACTTGACACTGTTACCTGAAAACAGTTGTTCATCTTTTGTTACTCTGTCAAAATGAATAATACAGTGGAACCTTGGATTGTGAGTATAATTTGTTCCGGTGTTCGTAATCCAAAGCAAATTTCCCCATAAGAAATAATGGAAACTCAGATGATTCGTTCCACACCCACTTATCCATATAAAAATGATTACAGTAATACAAAATACAGGATAAAGTAAAAATTAAATAAATTAACCTGAACTTTACTTTTGAAAAGAATTGTGGCCCATTATTGCAGTACAGATATTGACTACATGAGTGAGGCATGAGAACCATTGGCTCAGTTGTGGCGTGCGTCACGTGATGCTCAGGAGACAAAGTGTATGTACTACTCGTATTGTGAGACCTCGCTCGTATATAGAACCAAAATTTTTGCTCGTCTTGCAAAACACTGGCAAACTGAGTTACTCGCAATCCAAGGTTCCGCTGTGCTTTGATTCTTCTACCATTAACTTTTTAAATATTTTTTATGTGCCAATAAAACACTCAAACCTAACATTTGGCTCTTTGCACTATTCTCTGAGAGAATAAGGTTTGTGTTGTATTAATGTGTCAGTGAGTTGTAGTTCACAAAAAGTTCATTGTTCTGACACATTCTGTTAAACTATTGTTATTTTCAGGTTTGTTCATGTAGTATTTTTGTTTCTTCTTCCACTGTCTTTGTTCTAATGGCCGTACTATAATTTAAGATACAAAAAAATATATTGGGCTTTCATTTGTCAGAAGGCCAGAAAGTACGCTTTATATCAACTACATGAGCCCATGTTTGATAGCATGCTAGCTGTAGAAATGTTTAAAATGACAGATCCAGACCAGCTTTGTGTGTGTCAACTTAATGTGTGTTTCTGTCCCCAAGTGGAAATATGCAGCTTTAAGATTTGTACTAGTAAATATTAGTAAATGTGAAAGACCCTTCAGATACACTTTAACATTTATTTATTTAGCAAAATGAAAATGGCTGTCATAAGCAAATATATCTGTATCTAGTTATGACCTAACCAAATGAATAGTGTGTTATCAATATTCACAGTACTTGAGGCTAACAAAAACTTTCAACAGAGGCAGACTGCCAGCATGGCCAAAACTATTCCCTAATGTGTTCAGACAAATAAACTTATTTTTTATAAGATTTAGGGAAAACATACAGCGTGTGGCTGTTGGTGATTGCTGGAATCTACTTCGATTGGCCCTTTTACCAAGATTAATGACAGTGGATAAAAGTATTGCTGAATGTAAATGTAAACAAACTGCTTACTGAGTCCCACTGTGTTCTGGACTATTTAAACTATAACAGTGGAAACAGTAGAAGATCAACCTACACTTCTAAAAATGTATTAAAACGTTAAACTTGAAGTAATACAAAAAGAGTAACACTGAATATCACCATGGTTTATCTCCTCTCTCCCGTAGTGTGTCCTCTCTCTCTTTGTACCTTTCTGCAGGTTGCCCTGGCCCTGGAGCTCTACATCCCTGACGAGCAGTCACCAGCCACATCGACCTGATCAGTGTTTGATTGTTTGTTGTGTCTTGTTGCTTTTCTTCTTTTCTCTCTCCTCTATCCACTCACCCCAACCAGTCGAGGCAGAAGGCCGCCCACCAAGAGCCGGGGTCTGTCAGAGGTTTCTTCCCATTAAAGGGAGTTTTTCCTCCCCACTGTCGCCAAGTGTTTGCTCAAGGGGGCTTTGTTGCGTTTTCCCTATGTAATAATAGTGATAAGAGTAAGGTCTAGACCTTACTTTGTAAAGTGTCCTGAGATGACTTGTGATTTTGCGCTATACCAATAAAAATTTGATTTGATTTTGATTTGACTTGATTTATGAATAACTCCAAAATACATTCTAATGGTAGTGAGTACTGCAGTTTATTGGGTTTGTATTTCACATTACAGTGAGTGATATAGGCATATTAAATCGTCACATATATTTTGGTTTTAGTAATGCCTCAGTGAAGTAATGTACTGCTACTATATTTGTTTCCTGAGAGTAAACAGCGCCCACTGCTGGTAAAAATGCAGCACGACCGGAAAGGCTGGACTAAAGTGGTAGCTGGAGGGCCTTTGGGTTGCCAGGTATGATAGGAAACTTAGCACTGTGATCAAGTGTGCCTTTCACGGGGAGGAAGGGCATAATTTTGACAACAGTGTAATTACATAAGTTTAAGTATCTCCGAAAACATTATAGGAAATTAGTCGCTTCTTTTCGACATCTATTGTATAAAGGTACCAAGGAAGTAACTGTTTTGTGGGCTTTATGATGAAACCTGGCACCCTGCAGCTATCAGACGTCTGCGACCGTAGTGTTTGTTGAGTTTGCTGGTAGCTTTTGTTCGATATATCGTTAATTAGCGTTAGCTACTGAGTAGCTTTTGACACATCAATACACTAAGTGTAAACAATTCAAATTTAGCTTACGTCTAACTGTAAAGCGTGAGAGGTTTTTCATTTTGGTGAGTGTATTCAGCACATGAGCCACTCGAAGATACTGTAAAACCAGTACTAAGCTAGCTAGTACCGTACATGTGTTAGACTGCTTTTTATCTAAAAATCTATCAGTGTGTATCCGTGTTTACAAAACTAATTTCAGATGGTGAAGTATAGCCTTTGTGACGTTATTGTGTTTTTATAGCTTTTGAATAACGTTATTTTGCTACTGGTAAAAATAATTGTCTTCGGGTAGGTTATTTAGCTTGACCCGTCAGCATTAGGTCTGCAGATGCTGGCAATGTTTATGCTGATAATATAGTCACTGTGAGGCTCTATGGTTTTGTTTTGCTAATCACCTAATTTACTCAGATTCATTACCGCCTAAAGCTTTAATCTTTTCGTACTGGAGAGCAGTAAACTGGTCTTTACTCTAACGGCCATATCTACAGTGAAATTGTGACGAACGTATTTAGATCCTGCTAACGCGACTTTTACGCACCCTCCAAAGTAAACCAGAGACGGACATGTGCGTCTTCTGTAATGTGCTTGGTTTGTTCAATGAGTTAATCCTGAACAACACACAGAACAAAATAAAGTCTGTTACATTAATGAAACATTGGAAGTTAGGCTGTGGTGTGCACATCACCCGACAACGTGAGACGATGTAAGCAGAGAGAACCATATTTCTGCTAAAATCCAGGGAATACCCCCCATGTCCCTACCTGTAGATTGATAAGACTGCTGTGGATCGCCCTTCTTTCCTCTGGCTGGGGTGGGGGGCTTTCTAGCCGCTAATTGCCCAGAGGTTTGGTGCTATTTTTGTGATTTGGTGTTATGTTGAAACAAGTAGTCCCAGCCTATCATTTACAGCCCTGCCCTAACCAACAGCACTGGGTCTAAACCAGTAGTTAACTGTATTGTTGTCTCGCACAGACAGCGACGCTGCCCTAAGATGGAACTAGTGATTGAGCCCTTTGCTGTCAGATTAGACCAGCCAAGGGCTTTTGATTGCCTTGTCTACACCCGAATTAATTCTGTAGGCACATGTATAACATTTTTATCTACTGTGTCATTAAGGCTGAGGGGGAGGCATGTGGCCACACACACAGTATTCGTGTAAAAAGTGTTTTGTGTGTGATCCAGAAAACTGGGTTTGATATGATCCCTCAATAATTTTAGTAATATATTGCTAGGCTATCCCTGGTAGGCTAGTGGTTAAGGCGCAGCGCTGTCGCCACTGCTGCCCGGGTTTGAGTCAGGGTTGTGTCAGGAAGGGCATCCTGCGTAAAACACGTGCCAAATGTCAACATGAAGATTTGCTGTGGCGACCCCTATACGGGAAAAGCCGAAAGTGACTTTCATGTGAATTAGAAGCAACTTGGTGCTGATATTTTGCAGACAGAGACAACTGTAATGTTATGTTAGCTGAGAATTTTCACAAAAGTCCAGTTTTCCTCTTATGTATATTTTTTTCTGTCAAACAGTGAGCATGACATTCTTTATCTGTTGCACTGAAATGTATGCTGCAGTGCAGCATAAGCAATAATTACTAAGGTTAAGGTCTCCACAGAGGAGATGAGGGCATCCCAGAAGAACTAGAGGGCTTGAATTATACTTGATAGTTAAAAGCAGGCTTAAATATACAACTGTGCCATGTAAATCTATTTTTGTTTCTGTTTTTCTCGTCATAGCATTTGAACCAGCTCACATGTTTTCTGTCAGGTAGTACACAAACACTTGCATTATAACTGATGGGGTGTTGAACTTTTTTGTTCTGTACTGGGAGTGTTTGATTTTAAAGACAGCCTGGCAAATGAGTCATGCCTGTCTGGATGAAATACTGTAGATTAAAAGTATCTACACACACACACACACACACACACACGTACTGCTTACTGCACATTCTCTCGAACATGTTGTGCAGCAGTAAAGCTTAGCAGGCAGAGAGCAGCTGGTCCACAGCACACAACAGTGGCTGAGTGGGTTATGTGAAGGTGAAGTGATTAACTGAATTCTCAACATGAGGACAGGTGGATTCTTAAATGTTAAAAAAGGCCTTTTTAAAATGTATTTTATAAATGAGTGGCTTGATTTTCTGTATGAACTTGAAATACATCATCTGTGCCCATCTGGCGTAAAGTAGGAGAACACTGTAATTCCAGGAACGGTGGTCGTCTTATGTGACATGGGCTGCACCCTCAGTAAGCATGGAGCTGGTTCTCGTGAGCTTTTATTTGGCAAATGTGTGTGAGCCTTTGTTTATTGTTGGTATCGGTGTGTCTGATGTGTATTTAATTACTGGGTCAACATTGAAAATAAATAATTTGAACACATTTTTATAAAATGTTGATTGACGTGAGGCTGAGGATTAGCTGAGCTGATTTTGGTTGGGTCAGATAGAAATTTGTACCTGAATGTTCCTTTTGATGTAGCCCTGGAGGATACAGAGCTGTGTGTGTGTTTGAGTCATCACAAAAACTTTCAGGTCAATTGAGGTAGCATACCTGATTCTTGTTGTGCTGGTGGGTTTTGCTTTGCGTCTTTAGCATATGCACCGTTTATAACATCCTGATAGGTTGTTGTGTAATGTAGGATGGGTTTCATTACAACATACTGTTTTTGGGTGGGAGCTTTGTTAAAACAGCTCATAGTGTATCAGTTATGTGTTGAGTTGGACTCGGTGAGGAGGGAGTGGCTAATACTTCTGTTTGCAGCCACCACCTCCCTTCCTTTCTCTGAACTGTGAATGAGGGGATGGGAATGGAAACAAAGACATTTTCCTAAACCTTGGTGTTGTATCTTCTTCTTCTTCTACTTTCAGCTGTTCACGTTAGGGGTCGCCACAGCGAATCATGAGTTCCCACCAAACTGGTGATGCGTACGTTAAAATTGGCATGTTTATATCCCGGATACCCTTCTGGTTAACGTCTAATTTAGAGTCACCAATCAACCTAAGTGGCATGTCTTTTGACTATGGGACCAAACTGGAGTCCCTGGAGAAAACCCACACAGGCACAGGGAGAACATGCAAACTCAGCACAAGAAGGCACCGGGTCGGCTGGGGCTTGAACCTGAAACCTTCTTGCTGTGGGCAGCGCTAACTTCTGTGCCCCCAAACCTTGGTGTTGAAAATAAATAATTTGAACACATTTTTATAAAATGTTGATAGACTTGAGGCTGAGGATTAGCTGAGCTGATTTTGGTTGATAAGTATGAAACTTAAATGATATATTATGGCTATATTGTCATAGCTGCATTGCAAATGTGTTGGAAGATATGCAAAAGAAATTGCTTTGCACCATTCTGTAGCAGTAAGTGTATATAGGCTATATTTTAAGGTCCAGACTGTTTAAACTCTTTAAAAACAAAATTGAAGTTTCATTGGCAAATATCATGATTAATATGTTTATTATTCTTAAATATTTATTTGTCTCAAAACAACAGTCTCGTCAGACTAAGATTGATCTTGGATTTTTGCTATTAGTTCTTGGTTGTTTTGCAGTCAGTGGTGAGACAAATGGAGACTTAAATTTGTTTCCCAAGAGTTTCTGTTTGCAGGGTCACAAATTCACTTTGCCATTAATAGTAGTAGTAGGAATTAATGGTGATGGGGTTGTAATAGCAAGTGTGACAGTTGTTCTCAGTGCCTCCTAGTTGTGTATTGATTTTGCATTAGGCTCATGTCCTGCTTTCTAATTGTCAATAAGCTTTGTCCTAATTATTCATAATTTGGTTTTCTTGTTTTTTCTTGAAATAAAAACAGGGAGGCCTGCTGTGGAGCTCTTTACAGACAGCACCATCTTCCTCAACTGCTCCCATCCTCCTCACATCCATTTACTGCTCCTACTAGTTGCCTCCTCCAGTTCTCAATATGGCAAATATCTTCCTACTCTGGCAGTGCGACTGACCTCTGTCCTGTGCTACAACCATGGAGAGAAAGCGCAGAAAGAAATTAGTCTAGCTGCTCAGGCCATTTGCAGTATGGACTCATTTTTGGAGCTCTGGACCTGAAATGCTCTTATCCAGACCCAGATTTTAGCGGCTCATTTCCTGTCTGAAATAGCACACCTACTGCTGAAGTTTAAAGGGCCTGTTCAAACTGATGATTGACGATACTTCACAACCCAAAATGCTCCTCTTTCCTATGTGGGTGTCTGTGCTTCTGGGGCTGTTGGTGGGCTTCCTGCCTGTAGTGGGGATGAAGCCAGCAGGAGGGACTAAATCTGACCAAACCTCCAGCTCAAAGCTCCTCTTGTCACCGCCCTCTAACTGCTCTCAGTTAACACTCCAGCTGGAGTTCTCCTCCAAGGTGGTGGAACATGGTGAGAAACTGTTCAAGCTGGTGGCTTTTCATTGTGTCTTTATAGGCTGTGACAGAATTGTATTTCCCACTAAAATTTCAAAATTAAAATATTTTGATTGATAGTCATAATATATGGGGTGGGTATGTCCAAATCACAGATTTTTTTTAATTTTTTTATTTTTATTCCAGTCCTTTGTCAGTTTTTTTTATCCCAATGCCCCCTACGGTATATTGTACAGGTAGCCTCGATTAAATTTAGTGATGCCATTCCCCATTCAGTAGGTATCATAGCCAAGCTTGTTTTGTGCACTGTTAGGCTGTGAGCTTTTGATTTTAAAGGAAGGATCTTTTTTTTTTTTTGCCTGTAACATGTTTTATTACTTGTTTTTGTATGGATTAAACAAACCAGATACAGCAATTTATTTAGCTTCAGAGGTGCTGGTAGATTTATCCAATTCTCCTTTTTAATGTAATAAGATAAAACTTATTGTGAGATTTTCTCATCTCAACTCTAAGCGGGAAAACATCCATCCATCCATCCATCCATCCATCCATCCATCCATCCATCCATCCATTTTCCTCCGCTTATCCAGGACCGGGTCACAGGGGCAGCAGTCTAAGCAAAGATGCCCAGACTTCCCTCTCTTCAGACACTTCCTCCAGCTCCTCTGGGGGAATGCCAAGGCATTCCCAGGCCAGCCGAGAGACATTGTCCCTCCAGCGTGACCTAGGTCTTCCCCGGGGCCTCCTCCCGGTGGGACATGCCCGGAACATCTCCCTAGGAAGGTGCCCAGGAGGCATCCAATACAGATGCCCGAGCCACCTTAGCTGGCTCCTC